ACGCGAAGCGCTATAAATTCGAGAATAATCGACGAATCCGCTCCAAATTGCCACCGGCTATAGTCTGCAGGTAACGTGTGCTCCGGTTCCTTGCTCGCTTGCTCCACAAAACCCATCGCAACTGCACAATAATCGCTCGCTCATCAACAAACACTGTTGACCTTTACGCTTCGATATGACCGCAAGCTACCAGGTTTAATACGCGACGTGAATATTCAAGCTTAGCGACCGCGTCCGCGCGACAATGCAGCACTTGCTATGGGAGGGATGGTACTATTGCTTCTAGGTCAATCGACACTGAGCGAGGGTCCGCTGCGTTAGTTTTGGCCAGAAAACAAAAGGCGATCGCGCGACCCTCCGTAAGTTTTCAACAGGGCGGCCCAGGTTTTCAAGTTCGAATTCTTCTAACGTTCGCTGTCACAGCTGCTGTCACATTGTTCGTCCAGTCGCTTGCATAGCCTTCTTGACTCTACTAGACCTATTTGCTTAGATTAATTAAATAAACAATTCTTTCCAGAACTACGTCTTATTCCACAGTATGTTGTCCAAGAAGATACAGCTGAAGATATGGTGAAGTAAAATTTATGTGCGCGATATCTTTTTTTATTATTATTATTTTCAAAACTCAGGGGCACCCAACGACGATTTCCCCCTAAATACATTGAAAACACATTTAAGGCTGTCCAGAGTACTTTCAAATGCATTCTAAGCGGCGCTAATACATATAATTTTAGTCAGGAAGGCTAAAAGCGAAGCTCTTGATAATATTTATAGTTTGTTCATACTAAACATAAAATCGTGTAATGCTAAGCGGAGAAGGCAACGAGACAGGGGCACCCAACAACGGGTTTCCTCAAATACACTGAAAACACTTTTTAGCTGTTCATAAAGTATTTTTAGCTCTATAGAAATGCATTCTAGGTGGCGCTATCAAATTTGTATCTCAGTGTTCGGCCATTCTAGGGGAACTTGAGTCTTTTCGAAATTACGAGGAATTAAGAATTATTTTCCCGAAAATTTTATAAGTAATGTAACGTCTTAAGAAGGAGATAATTTTTCAGATTCCTTCTTTCATCACATTTTTGAATCCAAAAATGAGCCTAACCCGGGGAGTGAAATGTGGAAAATTAAACTTCAGAAAATCGTAGGGAATTTATTAGCAAGATTAGATGAGCTTCAAAAATTGTACATGAATGGAATGGTCATCTAATTTTTTGCCAAGTAAAAGAAAATTCTAGGCAAAATTTGTTTCTCCGAACAGATATTTTACAGAAAACAGTCGTTGGATGCCCTTGACCAGAGCTGTGAAAAAAACAACAATCGGTCTAATTGCAGCACACTTTCTTGTACATTTCCTTGCCGTTGATTTGCATGACTGCAACGTGAAACGTCCAGAAAACTTCCTGGTTTTCACTTTTCATGGAAGAAATGTGGTACCTGTTCAAATTCTTGTTCACTTTTTCCACTTCCGCTCATTTTTTTTTTAGCTCCGCTATAAAATTCGTATCTGTTCGGTGATCCTAGGGCAAATTGGATCTTTTTAAATATTACGAGGGCTTCAATATTATTTTCCCGATTGATTGACCTAGAAGCAATAGTACCATCCCTCCTATAGCAAGTGTTGCATTGTCGCGCGGACACGGTCGCTAAGCTTGAATATTCACGTCGCGTATTAAACCTGGTAGTTTGCGGTCATATCGAATCGTAAAGGTCAACAGTGTTTGTTGATGAGCGAGCGATTATTGTACAGTTGCGATGGGTTTTGTGGAGCCAGCGAACAAGAAGCAGGAGCACACGTTACCTGCAGATTAGCCGATGTCAATTTGGAGCGGATTCGTCGATTATTCTCGAATTTATAGCGCTTCGCGTGAAGGCGCATGGAGATAGTCCGTTTGTTTTGTAGCCAGCCTTTAGGCCCAGTTCAGACGTCGTGCTTCTGCCGTGCCGAACTTAATTGTAATTTGGTTCGACTGTAGCACAGCAGGAAAACAACTTTGATTCAGACGTCGTGCCAGAGTCGAACCAAATTCAGGATTTACTGATGCCTCGTAACAATTCTTCTCCCAACTCCCCGTGGGAACGCAATCTCACCAAAATACATTAATATAATTTATGAATTTTGGTTTAGTGCGGCAGAAGCACGACGTTTGAATCGCTGCCGTGCCAGAGCCGTGTAGCACGACAGCGCTTGTCGAACTTAATTGCTTGCCGAACTTAATTCAAAAGTTTGATTCAGACGCCGTGCTTTTGTCGAACTTAATTCCTGAATTTAGTTCGGCACGACAGAATTTTGTCGAACTTAATTCCTGAATTTAGTTCGGCACGGCAGAAGCACGACGTCTGAACTGGGCCTTAATTCTTCTTTAGTGGATAGTACCTACAATTGCAAAACTCAACAAAATGCCACTTTAACCGGCCAGGAAAGACAAGGATACGTTCAGTTAAAGGTATCTTAGCTTTGTTTTGTTATATTTTGACTTTTGGACTATTTTAGTTCATGGGAGTTTCGACGACTCATCCTATTTTGTCCATGTGGATATTAATATACCGTAAAATTCCGAAAATAAGCCCCGGGGTTACCGGGGCTTATATTTTTCAAAGGCTCCTTTTGAGGGGCTTATTTTTGGAGGGGCATATATTCGGAGGGGCTTATTTACGGAGGGAAGTTTGCGTTTCTAAATCGATTGGGCTAGCCTTATAGTTGGAAGTAAATTTACCGTTTTTGCTTTGTTTTACTTTGTATTTGAGGGTAATTTTCCAAGTACAAGCCCCCGGGGGGCTTATATTTGGAGGGGCGATTTAACGGAGGATTTTTTGCGTTACCGGTTTGGGGCGCTTATATTTGGAGGGGCTTATTTTCGGAATTTTACGGTATTTCATTTGACACATACTACGTCTGGGCCGCCCGTGGTTGTGTAGCTCGGCAGCCGTTGTGGCACAAAGAAAATCTACCGAGATGTGAAGCTCGGCGGCGCCATTTGACCATGACTTGTGATATTTTCGGCACCGGACAAACGAACACTTTAACTCTATGCCCACAGTAGCGCCACTCTCGAGTCACTGAAATCAACACGCTCGACCAAATTACTGGAAAAGTTATTGACGTGAATCAACGCACACGTTCCATTGAAGGCTTTGATCGGGTTAGTGCGAAGTTTGAATTCAGATGTGAAAGCTTTTAAACCAGTAAATTCAATGTGATTCATTTTGTCAACAAGTTGATGATTGGATGCTGTTAAAAATAACACAGAAAATTATCCGAAGAAATGTTTTTGAAGAAAGAAAAAGAATCCCGGGTTAAGAACTAATCGACCTTTGAGAAACTGCGCCCTGTAACTCGCGCCAGTAAAACAAAATGTTCCATTTACACGTCCGACGCTGGCCAATGTCTCCTCCGATTAAAAGCACTGACACTGAACCATACGATATCTTTTGAAAACGTTCTTAAAATGATACACAGTTTAAATAGAGGTTTCGCTGTACGCAACCCTTACGTTCAAAATATGCCATGATCATATTTATCTACATCGCAACCACCCTTCCGCCTCGACAAACATATCGAACGCACTCTCCAAAAAAGCTCCGATTACTCCTAGTCTATAAAATAACACTGTTTCAAAAGAGAAGAACAGCAAAGCCAATCAGTTCCAGCGAAAATTTAAAAGTTAAAAACTAATATACCGTGATTCCTGGGAATTGTGTCGTTTCTTCATTTGTGTTTTAGATAAATATATAAAGATATCTAACTGGATTTATGAAAACATGGCTTCAGTGAGTGTACCAAGACTTTGACCCTCCCCACCCAGGACAATGGGTGACTGTCTGCACCTCCCATTAAGCCCTGCAATTATCATGATAATCATTCTCAGCAGAGGCCTGATTCAGCTGACTAGGGCAAATTAAGACCAAGGTACTCGCCAGTCAAAGCCTGCACTGAACAGTGTTGCTTTCTGAAGGGGTTGTGTCAAAACAGCCCGCTCCTTACCCGACTAGTTTTGACCCCAAGGCCTGATCCACCCACCCACTGTTAGGGAAGTCCTTGGACTATCCAGCTGTACCGACCAAGACGTCAAGCCCCCTACATTTTTGGGCACCAGACTGTTTCCACCAGACTGGCCTGGCGCCGGGCTGCGCAAGGCGCCAGGCGAAAACCCAGTGGCCACGTTTTAACGAAATCAGACAGATATATAAAGTTCAAAACTGAACAGCAAAAACAATGGTAACAACCGCTGATCAGTTCGGTGGCCACCTCTAACAAAGCTCTACACCTGAGATCAGTAAAAAAGACACAAATGGCGAAGCATACTGCAAACTGATCCTCGCCACGGAGAGTATCTCGGAAAATCCAGGGCAGTCAGTTGGGCCGGGGGGTGCAAGGTCGGGGGAAAAAGCGCGACACAGCCTCGTACCCAGGCCAGTTCACGCTATCCGAGTTACAAGGGGAGGCTTGGAACCGAGCGCGATAGGCGTTAAAGCTTGACAGGTGACGTTACATTCGAAATCACCGAGGACGACTGGGAACGAGGCCGGGGGCGACAAAAGTTTGAACCACAGGTGGAAAAGCTCTTCAGTCCACCCGTGCGTGAAAATTTTCGTCGCTCCTTTTCTCCCGGCCCAACTGATTGCCCTGGGTTTCCGAGGATGGACTTGAAGAGATCACGACAAAACAAAATCAAAAGATGCCTTTTGTTATTTTGTTTTATATTTTGATCAGTCTTCTCTTCGACGTGAGAATCCGTTTGCTGCTAAGTTTCTTTTTCCAGATACTGTCCTGCTTGAGAATTTATTGACTGGAATACAACAACTTTGCAAGTTCTTCAATCTACTTCACTTCACTGGTGTTTTCCTAGAAGGCTCAACTTAAAAATCTTTCCGTACAGACGTATCTCTAAAACATCGTTTTGGATTTAAAGTAAATTTTCTAACTTCAGACTGCAATGCAATCACTTCCTAACTCTGACACGAGATTGGCTTGATTCTCAGAGTCTGGGGTCGAATTTTTAAGATAGAGTCCATTCTCCGAGAACCTTTCCAATAAAGGATCCAACGATACCTCCTACAAATTTTCCAATCGCCGGAACAGGAATAAGAACTTGGCCAATGACTTCTCCTGCAGTAGATACTGCCACATTCATGGTACCTGATAAGATTCGATTTCCAACAGCTTGATCGAATTCTGCTTGGCTGATTCTCCCCTCTTGCTTGTCTTTATGGGCACAGCTTATATCATACACCGCAGACACGACTTCAAAAACTGCTGCGATTTCAAGCCCTCCAACAGATTCTTTGACGACTGATGTTTCGGTTACAATTTCCTGTAGCAAAGCTCTTAGCAGGGTGTCTTTGACATCGTTTACTCTTGTCTTAAAGGCATCCTTGACATTGTTAACTTGTTCTGAGGAGGATATTCCTGTTTTACACCATAAGGCAAAATGCTCACAGTTATTGGTAACAGGATGGTATTTTCTTTCCCCTAGCTTACTCTTAGCACTGGAAACAACAGTTTCGGGATCAAAACACCTGTCGTGTTTAATAACGTAAACGGGTTCGTTTTCTAATTTGAACCTTCGTCTAACCACCACAGCCAATCCCGGATTTTTTGGCGGGCTGCTGTTGTCCTGGCTGAATTGTTTTGCGGAATTGGAGTACTCGATAACGCTGACTTCACCATTTGATTTATCGACAGTGTCTACTATAGCGTGATGCCAGTAGGCAAGTCGAGGGAAGCATATATGGTCTCCGCGTCGAATCTGGTCCAGCGAGAATGCACTCTCCATGGGTACTGTATGCTTTTCGCTGAAGTGTCCTCTGTACGTGTACACCCTTTCTGATGTTCCCTGTAAAGATCATTTTGAGAACAAACAATTGTTAACAATATGGATGTTGATAACGTTACCAATTTGGAAAGTAGTTTGATCGTCCAGCCAAGCTGGAAAAGAGGTGGCCGTTATCAAGTTCAGAATGTGCTAATAAATTTTCCTCCGCCTTCAGGGTTGAGCATTTTGATGCATTTCACAGTGATAGATATAGGGTGATTGTTTTGACAAAAAAGTGACTAAACAAGAAGCCGAACTAAGCCGAAAGAAAAGGAACGCTCAAACTACATTGCCTCAAAATCGTTCCTAAAATTCTTAACAAAAATGGAAGAGGGAAGCAATAAAAAATAAACAAATAAGCAAAGCATAACAAAACAAAACAGATCTCGCCAGAAAACCTTTGATTTGGTGTTTCACTTCAAGTGACCGTTTGTAAGCAATTAGATTGGAAGAGAAAGAGACGCAAAAAGTCATCGAAACGTTGTTTGCGTCACTCGTTATAACGTTACCGTGGAGCGTTCTGGCACTCCAAAAGTGTATAATGAAGCATTTTTAGACTTAATACGTTGGGCCAATTTGCCTACACTAAGAAATCGCCACGGTTATGACATAACGGATCTTTTCAAACTGAACTGATAACAGTGGTTACTAACTCTGATTTTATAATATCTCGATTTAATTCACTTGCATGTGGCAAATTTAGCTTACACTATCTTGGCCGTACGATTTAGGTAAAACGAAGTGATTGCCGCGATAGTTATACCAGATCCATGGTCTGAAACATTATCGACCTTTCGAGGGCGGATCGGGCTGAGCCTGCGCAAACAGCCGCGCGAAACGTTCCCAGAGGCGAAGAGCGAGAAGAAACGGCTGTTTTCGCAGGCTAGAATTGGGCCGACATGGTCTCGTCGTCGGTTGCTATGGCCGTTGTAACGGTCGTTGGCGGTCAGGGAGTGCTGGTGTTTGCATGCTTGGTCCGTTTTCGAGGGATTGACATTGACAGACTGCTGTCTTTTTAACCCCATTGAAAAATATTATATTATAATCGCTACTATTCCAACAAGTGGGTTATTTTAATTTTTTGTGTATTTTAGTGTGTTTAATGTTATTTAGTGTACATTAATATAATTAGGAGTCCCCAATTCAGTGTATTTCGTTCTTTTGTTCGTTCGAAGTGTTATTAATTTAAATCACCAATCTGCCCGATTTCCACTTTCTATTACCTTCGATAACCAGTGTGACAGCCAACCAGAAACCAGTAAAAGGCAGAAGACAACTATGACGTAGCAAAAGTCGTTGCGCATATTGGATACGGGATGAAGCCAAAGCGAGACCAACGAAGATGAAGAGACCTCTACATATTTTGAGCGGTTTGAGTGGAGTCCGGGGCCGGGTTGTTCCAGTGGACTAAGATAACCTAGGGTTAGAGCAAAATTTAAATTTAGATAATACGTATATAAAAGGTAAATTCGTCAGCGTTTAGTGGTTTTGTCTACTTATTGACGATTGGATGTTCAAAGAAAAATAGAGAAAATTATGTGTGAAAATACTTTTAAACAAAAGACAAAGAAACCCAGTGTAAGGTTTAACCCCAGGTTAGCGCTAATCAGCCTTCCAACAACTGGGGCAAGAAGTAGTACACGAAGAGCTGCGAGCCAGTATTGTACTAGCCTGAATTTCAGCCTTCTCCTGGGGTCGCTTACTCCTGATCGAGACATCTGAAATGCCGTCCAGCGACGTCACTAGGCCTTTGCATTAACAATAAAATTCATGCTAAACGTATGATTTTCAACTGGTAAACAAAGAAATTTACGCGCCACTTCCAGTATAAGCTTGCTGGTGCTCAAACATTCAGGGTACAGAATTGTTTTACTCGCAACTTGTGTTGCACTGTGTTGGAACAGTAAACTGCATGCAGTATTCTGGATGGATCTCTACGTGATCTCTTGCTTGTCAGTATATCGAGCCGGATTTTCAAAAACGTCACGGCCGCCAAGTAAAACCATTTCCGTTAGGCTTTTTTTTTTTTCCGGCCAAAAACTGCAAACTGGCTAAAGTAGCCCGACAGGGTGCAACCATTGATTTTTACAATCTCTTCCCCTTCTTTCTTTCACCAGGCTCTTTCTATTTTCCCTTTCCTATTCCTTTGCTAGTTTGTCTAGTTTGGTTTTCGAGATTATCGGGGCGCAAAAAACTTCGTTTTGGCATTTTTTCACTGAAATATCTAGCTGCATATGTCGCTAAGTTAGCTCAATATAAAGCTCAATGATTTCAACTTGCAGCTAAATGCAAGGACGAAATACACACTTGAGCACTTCCGTCAATTCAATTTATTTTTTTGGACCTTAATGAAAGTCAGGAAGAAAAACCAAAAGAATCCTTTCACTTGACAGTGGAAATGACAGAAGTGCGACTTTCTGGAGTTGATTCTTTATTCGCAAGTAAATGATAGGTAATTTAACGAGTGATAGTTTCGAATACAAGAACAAGAAATATTCATTTGCCTGTTTAAGAATAAAGATTGTCTTAATATTTTAGACTCAACGAAAGCGTTCGATGCCCAGAAAAACACCGAAATGACAGTCGCGCTAAAATTTCTCATAATAACACATGATTATGCGAATGTTGGTAGTGATTTTGATTGGTTGACTGTCGCAGGTATAGAGAGGAGACGTCGTTTCGTCAAGTTGCAATGGTAGCAAAATTTCTGGATCACAACAAACCGAAAACATCACTTATAAAGCGAATTCGCACTGTTTCAAACTTCGACGATCTTTATTCATTTAATTTAATTTGTCAAATGATGTCGAAATTTTCTGGGGCATAAGATCGAGGATCCTCTCTTGTACTTGTCTGGAGTTAAATCCGAAAGGACCGTATCTAAGTCTAGAAAAAGAAAAAGAAAATTTTTGCGTTGTGCTCGCCTACTTCGTAAAGGCTGGTGCGTGAAATTAGGACGTTTCACGTCGCAGTCGTGCAACGACGGCTAAGAAACGTACCAAAAAAGCTCCCTATAATTTTGCTACCATGGTAACGTGACATCACACTTCCCCTCCTTATTCGGGTAGTGACTTCATCGGGCGGTATAAGTGGCTGGTTGATTCAGACGTGTCTCTCGGGAGTTTTTGCGACTCTAGGAGACGGCCGAAATTAAGGCGACTGCCAGTATTGTACAGTTTATGTAAATCTCATCCGTTTTCTGACTCAATGAATCCTTGGATTTAGGACATAGAAATTTGATGCTCAGAAAATCATTTTAAAACTGTAAAAGGAGTTGAATTATCATCCGGCCTGTTTGGCCCGTGTCCGTGGGCAAAATACAGTACCCCATGAACCACCTATGTCTGAGGCTGATATGGATTCATTGGCTGGCGAAATGAGTCCAAGAGTGGGCTGAAATAGTTCTTTTGATTGGCTGCTGCTTCAATTTGTTCTTAAGTGGCTAGTACAGATACCGATTAGACTTCAGGTTCACAGGGCTAAACTTGGGTCTTAGAAAGATCTTATGAATCTGCAGTATACCCCGGAGAAATAGAGTGATTTTACTTCCGTGAAATGGGTAGTAGAATACTACGCACTATTATGCACTAATTCTTTGTAGCTATTTTGCATTAGTCATTATTATATCTGCTGTTTCACGGTTCAAGTAAAATCACACTATACTTAACCCCTTCAACAGTACATCCAAACCGCAGTTTCAAAACACTTTCTCAGCAATAGCCACTCTGTTTCCCATATGTTTCTTATCCCTATTGAAACCCTTAGATATGAACGAGATTGTCTTAGGAAAGCATGTGAGACGCACCTCATTCATAAAGCCAAAATCATCGAGCCTCTGGGAATAAACAAACTTGACGAATTATAATCATTACGTAATAATTAGCTATTTTTCTTAGCAGCCACACCTTACCTAGCCTCCTACGCAGATGTTCTTTACACCTTACCACGTCATACCATGTAACTTCCGTTTATAATTTTACAGTAGTATATATTCTTTATAATCGTGGTTTTTTTCTTATAAACCTGCTGAAGACTGGTATTGGCCATGCAGTCTAAATATTGAATACCTCAGCCTTTTTCACGTTGTTTGATACGTATTTGCATGGTCACTTTTTGACTTTAATTCTAATATTATTAAAAACTTCAACTCCTCATCAGACTTTTTAAAGACTGACTGAGTACTATGCGAAATGAAGTTAAAACTATTTCGCATAGTCTCAGTCAGTTTCCAAACTGCACCAATATTCCAATAGATCAATTTCGCCTGTTACGGACATTCCTTTGGTTTCAATTCATTAGTTGCTTCGGGTACTAATAAACTTCGTCGAGAAAAAACTTTCATTTCGTTGCCCGGGCTCGATCAGCCCATATTTAAGCCATCATCACATGGAGTTCTCGTCATCACCGGCAACTCGGTAAAAACGAAGATACAATAAAGATGCCTCCGCCCAGAACCGAAATCATTTGCGTGTCGCTGACGTGCCATTCGCGCGTCTACTTTTCACGATATCCCCTAATAAAAATGGAGGCTCAGCCTCTTAAAACCGTTATCGTTAAATGAGAAATTAACAGTTAGATCTTAACTCTCACCTCAGTTGCGAATCAAGAAAACAAAGCAGACAGATTCACGATAACAGATCCTTGCGCACAGTAATCAACGCGGAAAGAAAAGGCGAAAAAAGGGGGTTTCCCAGCTTCCGCTGGCCGAGTGAGCCGCGCGAGAACGCTCGGGCGAGTGAGCGAGTTGAGAAGCCGCGTGTCGCTGACGTGCCTCTCACGAGTCTACTTTTCACGATATACCCTAAATGGAGAGCTTGCTCGCAGGCTAAGCCTTCGCTTTTTCTTTCAAGATCTTGACCGCGAGCGGTCGTTCTTCTTTCCTTAGGGCCACGAGAGGCGAGCGAAAGTTAAAATTATGCAAATTACTGGCGAAAAAGGAGTAGAAAGAAAAATAAGAGACTGCTCGCTTGGAGTCCGCCGCTCGCCCCTTGTGCATGCCCTCGTTTCTCCTGCTCGTATTC